AAACTGATAAGCACACAGATTAAACTTGTGTCGTTGATGTTGCCAAACACTACTGAAGCTGCCTTGCTTCCCTTCAGAAAATTTACATTTTAACCAACTTACATAACATTGCATGTTATGTTGACTTTATCATTTGAAAGTTTATAGTGCATTTCATCAATTAATAAATAAATGTGAAAATAGTAATTTTCAACACAAATAATAGTCTCGCTACCTTATTTCATAATTCTGAGAGTAAGGAAAGGATGCAAATTTTCACATGTGGCTGTGCAGAAGAAATTCTTTTGGCAGAGTGTTAACGAAATATGTATTCCTTTGTGTTTGAAGATATTCATGACTTCGTCCAGTGTAACATAAAAACAAACAAATGCTGTATTCATTCTTGGTTGATCGCTGATCAGCTATACCCATGTGGCAAAGATGCGAACATACAAGCACCTTTTATGTATATTTCTTACACGTCTATTTCATAACTTTTTCTCGAGGATTTGAAGGCAATATAATCTCCAATTGCAAGCAACCAGACAGCTAACATTTCCAAATTATTTGCTGTCAATTATTCCAGAGGTCGGCCACCCATGCCATGTTTGTCAACATGGATTTAATTGGAATGACAGTGACCCAGGGCTAAAGAACTGGTTGGATGTAAAATAATTGACTCAATATTCGATGGCAGAAGTGAAAAGATAATAGGTCATTGACAATTTTCACAATTTTACGACATGGAAATAACATTGTTTCACTTTCTCTCAGATCCCAGTAAAAAGCACATTACTATAATATTTCGTTAATTCCTGAAAATAAAGGTAAGAAATCTGAGGCCACTAGTATATTCGGTAGCAAACATGTGAAGCTGAGTGTCATTACTTCAATAATTTTATTAACTTTTTAAATTTTTCTATCCCAGTATTTGATAGACCACGTGTGGGGGCACTTTCATTCCTAAACAATCATGATTTTATCTATTATGGTCTCATTCAAGGTTATCTAAATCTCATGGTAGAAAGGAAACAACTCTTCAGCGCATATCACAGGTGAGTGTTACTGTCGCATACGACTTGTTTACCACTTCCGTGTGACTGAGAATGTTCTAGAACCGTACTGTGTCTGGGTGGAATTTTTAGAAACTGGTTGAATAGGTAATGGAACATTCTAGAAATTTGTAGTTAGTTCCAGACTCATTATGTATGCTGATGTAATGGTCTATTTATAGACAATGTGGGTATATATAGGGGAGTTGTTCAGCACTGAGATTAGATCGGAGATCTCGTTGAATTGTGTTGGAGTTTAAGTATCTAGTTATTGGAGGTTTGGAGTTTTACCGAGTTATTGTACTTGATGTTTGCAGAGTATAATAATACCAGTACTAGTTGAAACCTCATCTGTTGACTCCGTGTTCGTATGTTATCATCGCCGCCAGGGAAGTCTTTAAGTTACTGTTGCCATTTTGGTATTTGAACCATCACACCTGTACTATACCAATTACGGTAATATTGCGTTGCGTGTGACAGTTACATTTATATATTTTATATAATGTATATTTAGTGTATGCTACATTTTTAGTTGGCAATGATTTTGTTGATTTGTGTATTTCAAGGATACGTCTGAGTATATACTGCCATAACAAGTATCCCAAAATAACTTGGCAATAAAGGTTATTATTACATATGTACTGCAGTTTATTTTGATTCGTCCCTGAAATCAAAATCGGTATTTCCACAACCCATATGCAAATGAGGAGTACAGTTTTTCGAAATAAACAATATTTAGAAGTATGATATTTTCCCCTTGGGGTACTAGAATATACTTGCCGAATGAAATGAAATTTGAACAACAGTACGGTACTTTTAGGCAGTCACTTATTTTGGCCCAAACTAATTTGCATATCACCCATGCAATAATGTTTTCGGTATTTTCACGGTCGATATGCAAATGAACATGGTATTTTCATTGGCTACCGAACTATTTTTATTTTGTAAACACATTTTCGTCTGCTATTTTTATCCAGTTCAAATCGTTCAACAACATTTTTGGCAGGTCAGGTGTACATCACATGGAATACTACGATTGGGAGAACTTAATGTATGTTTACCACCTGGAAACTGAGTTTTATAAACCTTGGAGGGCTCTCAGAAGATCCACCAGCAGTAAAGTCAGCGATTACTATGCAGGCGCAACCATCAGCATCGAGATACCAGGTTTCTGCTGGCGACGTTGCGGCATTACTCAGTTCCAAATAAAAAATACCAACGCCAAAAGAGCAACATTTTAACCGGTAATCAAGACTCAGTCAATCCACGACCAGCAAGCAACATCACACACGAAGTTGTAGCGTGCAGCTCAGCGACAACCGCTGTCGACGAAAGTCATCCCGTCAGTGGAGTACCGCAGTTGCATGGCATGTTTGTCAATGCACAATTCTGTGGCGGAACTTTTAACTTCAACATAAACTGTGTATCATAGTCATCCAGTTCAAGTTCTGGTTCTGCCGTGGTCCCAACTAAACGTCAACGAGTTATTTATTCGGACAGTGACTCAGATTAGACGTCTGATTATTTAAATTTCAAACAAACAGTGACACGCGTTCTCCGGGCGCGTTCTACACTGACTTGCGCTGCTAGGGCGTAACACTTATATTGGAACATATTAATGGGCAATGGGGTTCCCCGACCTAAATTATTGGGTGCAACGGTTTGCACGTTCTTTCTTTAATACGAAATAATCGAGTATGGAACATATGTAATAATAACAGAACCCCACACCCTCCCCGTGGCTTTCGTTGCGTATGGAAGTTATTTTCACTTGAGATGCGGTGTATTCTGCTGTACTTTCACTCGCTTCGCTCGTGAAAGTACGGCCGCAGGATACACCGCATCACTCGTGAAAATAACTTCCTTGTTGCAAAACGATTACAAAACACATAAATTTATTAACAAGCTAAATAATGTTCAACTGGATTTTCACTTGATAAAGCTGCAGTGGTCCTCATGTGACACTTTCACACCTCAAACGTAATTCCTAGCTGTGCATTGTTACACATTGTTTCCATTGATCTTGCAGAAATGTGATAATCAAAGTCGTAAACTCAAAATTGTGACTGCTCAGCACAAAGTGCAGGACTATGACATATCCCCACTTACCCCACTCTAGCATTGACAGATACTTGTTAGCGCTTGTTATGGATACCTTTTGCAATAATTTGGTGATTATTATTAGTGCAATCTGTTATCGCTAGTAATTTACGGATAAACTTAAGCCACAGGTCAAGAGTTTTGAATTCTTCAAAGGCTGCATCAATGATAGAATATCTTTGATAATATTTAATATCTGAAACACAAATTGTATACACCAATTACGCATCATTCTGTAAGTTTGGTCAATTTGGTAATTTGGAAAATTCACAATCTGTGAACGTTTTGGAAGTTTCTGTAAAGTATTGCTGATTACACTGGAGAAATATGGAAGGAGATAAAAGAGTGCGTAGGGAGTTACGTAATCCAATGTAATCTTACGAAGATCTTCGGTCTTCGCTGTGGGTTTTGACTTTCTTCTTACTGACCCACGGGCGTCCCCAGTAGGAACCGACCTTGTCATGAGAAGCACAGTCGAACACGCTCTCTCTCACATATTTAAGTGGAAAGGAGACAGTTCACTTGCGTCGGATACAGCCCGTACCTCGGGCGATCTCCCAGAGTCTTCCATTCATTACGATTCGGTGAGCCACGCCATTTGGGTGATGCGAGGTATCATCGATCCTAGTGATACGATGTAAATACCCCCACCCTTGATCCTAAGGCGACCACTTACAGTTGCTTCAACGCTTATGGGATCATGGGTGTTGGGATCCAAAGCAACCCTAACCTCATCGGCACTGTCCGGCCGAGTGCGGAGTGGGGCGCATGGCGTGCAAACGGTGTTGATGGGCGAACGTTGGTCAGCAGCGGAGGAGGTAACGCTTAAGGCCCCTGGGTGGGGTAAAATCTTGTGCAACAAACTGGACTAAACGGTACCCGGTCGGTGTGGTTTTGGGATCAGACCCCAAAGTGTGGGATCAGACCAAAACATTCCCAACCGGATCCCAGGGTTCCTTCCCCAGACCCCGGTATCACGAATTTCCATTTGGCAAACCGACAGCTCAATCTGAGACAATCCATCACGCCCTGAGGGCAGAGTTGCTTGAGCGCATTATTGTGCATGCCCAGGACTCTGAGATCTACGTGCGACATCCCCTAGTGTCACCTGGCTCTCTTGGCCGGGGCCACTACTGTGCAACAAGACGCGGTCTTAGACACGTGTGTTTTCGCCGGCAAACTGAGTCAAGGGGTTCGTCCCCACCTCAGTCCTGAGAATAATCAACCTAATGTTCCTGAACTAATACTTAGAAAAAGCCGCGACCTGTACCTGTGGGAAAGGACCTTTGACCCTGCATGAAAAGATGCGACAAGGCTGTGGGAGTTTTCTGAGTTGAGATATTTGAATGGTGACTGTTGTTGAGCAAGGTAGATTCTCAGAAACAAAATGGAAAACATTTCAAAATTAACAGAAAGAAAATTATGGGAAGGTGAGCAATCGGCAAAGGAAACAGACGCTCATCTAGTTTCGATCACCAATACAAAAACCACATCGTCATTTTGGCCTCAAATAGCGAGGAGACAGGAGGACAAGAAACTTTTATATGGTATATAACATGACAAAATTAACGTATTTGTTAGTAGTGTAATTTATTGATTAAAATTCCTATAAATCATAGTGCAGCATCACTTTATGATGAATTGTACCCACATAGAGTACATATTAATTCAATTGTTTGCAGATGTTCCATGTATTATTCTAACATGAGTATTTTAGAATTAAATGATGGGGACTGTGACAGCCAATGATCATCCTGGGTGTGATTTTGCATTTCAATCAATGCATCGTATGCAATATTGTCTTCCTTCAATGAAACCAAGTGTCTGAAATATGTAAATGACTTTAAATAATAGACAAGTGGCAGCCTACTGGAATCAATTCTACCTGCTATGTTGCTTGTGTTGTTGCTAACATTTAAAATATGTCAACAAAATTTGAATACTAATTCTGTACAAATGCATACTAATAAATAGCAAAACGCAGAATCTGCGAGTAGGAAATGGATAAATTTTAATGAGAACATTAACACTGGCACACTTATTATTACTGTATGAGGTATTCTTACAAATGCAATAAAAACTAAACCTTGCTATCGAGACATTCACTACAAAAAACACTGCAAATCAAAATAAGCTTTTAAAACTTGGACATTACATACTGGCCCTATGTACATGTTCAGTTTGAAATTTCATTGTAATCAGAAGATAACTGATTTTCACAATGTAATGTTTAAAAAATTGTTTACTTGTTTGTATCTACAGATAGAATGTATTGAATGCTGTGGTAAGAATTTATACATTGGGACCAGTGACTGGTAAGTGAAATCAATGTCTACTCTAATCGTAGTGACTGGTAAGTGGAATCAATGCCTATTCTTATCTTAGTGACTGGTAAGTGAAACCAATGCTCACTCTTACCTTAGTGACTGGTAAGTGAAACCAATGCTCACTCTTACCTTAGTGACTGGTAAGTGAAACCAATGCTCACTCTTACCTTAGTGACTGGTAAGTGGAATCAATGCCTACTCTTATCTTAGTGACTGGTAAGAGTGCGTGCATGTTTGCGTGCGTGCATGCGTGTGTGTGTGTGTGTGTGTGTGTGTGTGCGTGTACGTATCTCAGGTACTAATCATCACATTTCAATGAAATTTACTTAGATACATAGGACAACCCACACACAGATATGTAAAATATTAATTACCTAATTTGCATAATTAATAAATTTTCAGCTATCGATATTTCAAGTACTATTACTTCATTACTTTTCAATGAAACTTGGTACATGCTCTAGTGTAGATGCAGAAACCTGATTAATTTTGAATAAAATTCTGTGCATATTATTCAACTAATTCGGCTTTTACTGTGGGAATCGAAATTACAGGATAAAGGAGACGATCGATTAAGTCAAGGAAGGAGACTTTATTATACGATATAGACTACACGAATACTATACAGCTACTGCCGAATAAAGCGTGTGTTGAAAGTATACATACAGTGTGGCCGGAAGTTTGGGCTTACGTAACTCGTTACTGAGTACCCAATCAACTAACTCAATAATAATTATCTTAAGTACATAACGTATCTCTTTGTGGTTTCCGCAGTTCGATTGTGGTTCCGACATTTACACTGATATCGCAAGTATTAATTTCCCATTTCAATGAATCGTGGTACATAGATGTTTTAGGACAATGCACAGATCGAATTAGTTTTGGGTTAAAATCAGTGCATATTATTACCTAATTTGCATAATTAGCCAATTTTCAGCTTTTACACTGATACATGTATCACATGTACTAATTATTCCATTTCAATGAAACTTAGTACATTAATGCTCTAGAACAATGCACAGACCTGCTTAGTTTGCCTTTGGGCTGAAATCCCAGCCTAGTAGAACAATATGGCAATTACTAGTTACCTGCCTGCTTTTTCACAGTTGTGCATTCCTCCTGATTTCCTGTCTTTTCAGTTTTGTTATTCATTTTCTGCTGGAAGAGAAGACACAGCCTAATGGCAAGGTTATCCTGACCAGTCAGAAACAAAGCCACAAATACTTAGCAGTGGTGAGTACATGTTTCAGCTAATAATTGATGTGCCGGTTAAAGAATAAATGTTTTTTTAATTAGTCCCCGTTGGAACGAAGTCCGAAAACGGGGACTTATAATTCGGCTTTCGTCCGTGCGTCCGTCCGGAGTCATATCTCAGAATCCCTTACACCGATTTTTTTCATTCTTTGCATGTTCCTAGTACTTTATGTGGGACATATGCACATGCAGTGGTTTAGCGATTCGATTCAAAATGGCCGACTGGCAGCCATCTGGCAGTATTTTGGACATGCTTTGTCAGTTTTCATTCAAACTTGGTACATAGATTATACATGTTAGGATACATGTCCATGATGATTTAATACACAATTAGATCAAAGATGGCCGACTGGCAGCCATCTTGTTTTTTGAAAATGTCGTATTTTGGACATGTTTTGTCAGTTTTCATTCAAATTTGGCACATACATGTACTTTATACATGTTAGGATGCATGTCCATGACAATTTGTTTCAAAATCTGGTCAAGGATGGCCGATTGACAGCCATCTGACTTTTTGGCCTTACTATATTTCCACAATTTAAGTACCATTTTCATTCGTATTTGGCACATATATCAAACATATCAGTGTGTTTCATAATCAGATCAAAGATGGCCGAATAACGGCTGTTTTTATTTTTGGCCATAATACTACTACACAGAACACGTGTTTTGACGTAAATGTTTCAAGGACACACTCGCGACAACCCCTCCGTTTTAATATGACGAGCACAAAGAGAACTTTCAAAAATTTAATGGGGACTGTGTCATTTTCAATGACTTGTTCACTGTCAAATTGGTTGCATATTAGTTTTTAGGAGCTATGGAAATTTTACTTTACCATCAGATATTGTATCAGATCAAAAAATGAATTGTGTCTTGAGAAGTGCAAATAGAATGTGTATGTATAGACTGATTAATAGATCTCTGGGGACTATTTTCATTACTGGGGCTAAATGTTCACTCTTGATTCTGTAACAATACTTGTTTGTTTTTTCAGAAAAAGCCAGTAATTCAACTGAAAGCTGCCTCTGCGTTGACTCGGATATTAGTATTATGTGATAATACTGTAGCATTACTTAATATGTTTAACCTGGAGGTAAGACTTGGATATTAGTATTGTGTTATAATAATTTAAAAGTAATATTAATATGAGTAATGTGCTATTCACATTGTCTTATTGTTTTACAATGTAGCTGTGTTAATATATTGTTTTATTCAATCCACTCCAAACATTGTTTCAATTCTGTGTTTTTTTTGACACTGATGTAACATACAATAACTAACCACAGAGAATATATGTGAATCAAGAGATGGCATTCTTTTTTTTTGCAACCTTGCCATTGTTGGTTACTTTGTAGTAACTAATAATCTTTTGTTGATGTTGACAATGACACAATTTGGACTTGCGATATTTTCTTAGTCCAGGTTTGGACACAGTCCTAAAACAGCGTCTTATGTGTGTCCGTGCATCCATGTGTCTGCACGTCCATGCACTCGTGCATGCTTCCGAACATATAACTTAGACATGCCTTGACCGATAATATTCAAACTTCACACATACATAATATTATACATACATGTATGTATATCAATTTGTTTCACGATCTGATTCAAGATGGCCGAAAGGCGGCCATTTTTGTTCTGAAAAATCATCAAAATCAAGCATTTATGGATGGATTTTGTTCAAACTCGGTACATATGTCGGACATTGTGGATCCTTGGTGCACATTTCGTTTTTCAGATCAGATTTAAAATGACCAATTGGTGGTTATTTTTTTTAAATAATGAAGTTTTAGTGCCATATCTTTGCCATGCTTTGAATGATTATGTTTAAATTTTATATATTTATTGTAGATCATGTCATAGATATACAGATGTATTTGTTAGACTAGACTATCTGATTTAAAATGGCCAAATGGTGGCCATGTTTGTGCTAAAAAATCAAGCATTTCTGTCATTCCGGAACTGAAACTTGGTTGTTTAAGGATAGATTTTGTTCAAACTTGGTACATACATACCGGTAAGACATTATGGGTCCCTGATGCATGTCATTTTATTTTTCAAATCGGATTCAAAATGGCTGACTGGTGGCCATTTTGTTTTAATAAATGCCGTTTTTGAGCCACATCTGTGACATGATTTGACTGATTAAGTTTAAATTTTATATATTCATTATACATCATGTTATAAATATACAACCAGTGGCCATTTTGTTTTAATTAATGTACTTGACCATCAGATACAAGATGACTGAATATCAATCATTTCAATGTTAAAAAATCATCATAATCAAGCATCAGCTTCTGGATCCATATCTCTGACATGTTTATGTTTGAACTATATTCCTATAAACAAAATTATATATCTTAAGTTTGATAACTAATGAGGACAGTGCCATGCATGGCTCGTTTGTTTTTGGCAAAAAAACGCAAAAAGTTGAGTTGGCGAAAGGACATCTTGTTAACATTCCATGACAACACTTTAAAATTGTTTCAATTTGAAAGTTAACATTTCCTTTATTCCAAAACCACATCTCTGCCATGCATAGACACATTTGGTTCAAGCTTAGTATAGAAATTATGTGGTCATTTGTCATATTGGCTTTTAAATCAGATTGAAAATGGCTGACTGGTGCGTATCTATATTTAACCAATGCTGTTCCACAGATGTATCTATGACATGCCCTAATGTTATATCATGGGACACATATACACATGCATTCCTATATGAACTTGAAATGGAAACAGATGAGGATTGTGTCGTTATGATTTGCTGCTATATTTAAAAAAAAAAATGTTATTAAGACCCATGGGATATTTCCTTATTTATCTGAAAGATCACGCCTCATTTCTAAGCCCGGACGTCAACACATCTTCGGTACAACACTCATTTTCTCACCGATCCTGTGATTGTCAATTTGTATTTTTTTATTTCACACTTTTGAAAAAACAATTATTTTGTGTTTATTTCACCAAAGATTTGATTCATCACCCATGGGTGATTTTTCAGATAAATATGGTTAATTCAGTGGAAAATCAACAAGGAAATTAAAAATGTTGCACTAATAGGAGAATGTGTTAAATGTGTTCAAAATCAAAATGCCACCATCTCTACATTCAAGGGATTACTACTCTATATTGAACTTTTTTTGTAGCCAATGTTAAGTGGTGCCAAGATCAGGGGGGTAAGTATTCTCACTAATCTATTGTGAAAATTTCAACTGCTTTTAAATAATTAGTTTTTTTTTACAAAATTACATTGACATTTTGAACTGGTTGTTGAAAACAGTGACTACAAAAAAATTAGGTGGCATACATGATACAATCATTAGTTGACAGAATATTTCCGTCAAAACACAGTCACAAAATGGTTTACAAATATCTATTATCATTATGAAAGCTGTAAAAACTTTTTCCATACATGTTTACCTTTTAACAAGTGATAATTGAGCAGCAAAATCACTGCCAACAGTTTTAGAGAACCCAAAACAGCACAATGCTTTGAAAGGTCTTCTAGAATTTCAGAAACCAGTTGTGATGATTTGAGGCTATGACACAAGTTTAGTCATTTGCATAATGTTATTGATACATTGTATGGAACATCTCTTGAAAACTTTGGCTCAGTTCCAGGCCTAGCAGTTGAGTAATAAACATCTTAGTTACAAGTGCTTCTCTCCAGTGCGTCATTCTCCTCCCGGATTTGGTGACCAATAATTTCTTGGTTCACTTTACTCTGAGAAGTCAGTTCTCAGTTTACACCTGGTCCAGTAAATTACAAATATCTGCTAAATAATTAAGTGGTTGTATTTTTAAAGTACAATGTATATTAAAACACAAAATTTGCATTTAATAAATTTATTAGGAATTAAAAACGTTAAATTATCCATAAAGTTGCCATAAAATATGTTACCATAGTACATGTATGGTATTATTAGGTTTAACACTGTAAACACTGCTCTATTGTAGGTTACATCATTTTGTGTGAATGAGAATCCAACGAGTAGTAATCCATTCAGCATTCAGGTAATATCTACATATTATAAATAACCCTAATAGCATACCAGTAGTTAAAAAATAAATAATATCAACAAGTTTGAGGCCGCATGTTTGTTTTTATATTTAACGGTATATTAGTTCATAGTTAAGTTTGCATGAATAAACTCAGGCTCCAGCTTAGACATAGACAGACATGGCTGTTGTATCTTCTATGACTTTTGTCATGCCAGAATAGAGTTTGAATTTTTACGACTGGTATATTCTGGTTGTCATGACATTCCAGGAATTGTTGATGTTGTATACTGAAGTTTAGTACTTCTATTTATTTCATCAAGGTAATTTTACTACCAGTACTCGTGTATTGTACATACATGTGGGTTTCAGAATTGTTCATTTAACAGAAATGTTGTTATATTATATTGTATTTAGGTCTGATTGACCACTGTTGTGTGCTGTTTTTGACTCCCGTGTGCGAAGTACAAAAGGGGAGTCTTTGCAGTTAGTGTGTCTGTCTGTGTGTGTGTGTGTGTGTGTGTGTGTGTGTGTGTGTGTGTGTGTGTGTGTGTGTGTGTCTGTTCCACTATATCTCAAGAACATTGATTTTTGATGAAACTTGGTGCATAGATGCTCTGGACCAATGCGCAGATTTGATTAGGTTTTGGTAAAAATCTGTGCAATATTAATTACCTAATTTGCACAATGATTAATAAATTGTTGGCTTTTCCACTGATATCTCAAATACTAATCATCACATTTCAATAAAACTTGGTACATAGATGTCATAGGACACTGCACAAACCTTATAGTTTTTAGGGTAATATCAGTACATATTAATTACTTAATTTGCATAATCAATTAATTTTCATATTTTGATATTTCAAGTTGTAATCATCACATTTCAATGAGACTTGCTACATAGATCTTCTAGGACTATGCAGAGACCTGATTAGTTTTAATTGGATATTAATTACCTAATTTGCATAATGTTCCACTGATATATAAAGAACCATGAATTGGATTTTAATGAAATTTTTGAAGAGAACTATGCAGAGACCCAATTAGTTTTTGGTAAATATTTATGCTTATTAATAACCTAATTAACATAATTAATTAACACTGATATCTCAATTACTGATCATCACATTTGAATAAAATTTGGTACATAAATGCTCTAGGACAATAGACAGGCCTGATTAATTTTGGGTTAAAATTTGTTCATATTAATTATCTAATTAGCATAATAATTCATAATTAGTTACCTGATTTACATAATTAGTTTTCTGCTTTTCCATCAATATCTCATGTACAAGTAATTTTTAATTATTTTTTAATAATGTGTCTTCAATACTCTCAGCACACGGGAGTTCTTTCTAAGCTTTCTTTGATTGTTTGTTTGCATGCGCTTCATGTATAAAAATCTTGGCTTTTAAAATGTCAGACAGTCGTCTGTAGCTAGTTGATACCTACACAAATCTTAAATATGATAACAATTTAGGAAGCGATTATGGAATTGAAATTCATACAAACTATTTGAAGTGTGATGCAACAGTTACTTGTACATGTAAATGGAGAACATTCTGGATGTTGTCATTTAAAACTTGGACAAGACATATTTGTAATACAGCCTTTTACAAAATGATTGTTTTATTCGGTATAATAATACAAATATTGACCCCAGCCTCGGTCGATACTGTAAAATACTTTATTTTCGCTATTTTTGCTGAAGGGCTGATTCAGTGAAAATAAAATCCAGCGAATATACCCTTTTTCCTATATTTCACATTCAACTCATCAAAAATCAGTGAAAATAAATTCCATACAAAACACCGAAAAGCCTTTTCAGTGCAAATTAATTCCAGCGAAAATAAAGTATTTTACAGTATACAAATTATTTGTATAACATAATGTATATAGTCAGACAGACAGTTGAAAAGTTTGATTCCATTTACTAGCTGGATTTAGAAAGTGATTTTACTGCAGCTGTTGTGACTTGGGTACTGATATGTGCATGATACAGATTCTTCCATAAACAGAGAACTTATGGTTTCATGTTTATATGATACTCTTCCATAAACAGAGAACTTATGGTTTCATGTTTATATGATACTCTTCCATAAACAGAGAACTTATGGTTTCATGTTTATATGATACTCTTCCATAAACAGAGAACTTATGGTTTCATGTTTATATGATACTCTTCCATAAACAGAGAACTTATGGTTTCATGTTTATATGATACTTTTGCTCCATTTCATGCTCTACAGATGACAAGCCTAAAGCTTGTAATCTCTCCCATTAATTAGGATGCCTGAGAAAGCTATTTTTTGAAGTGTGAGCAAATTTGTTTAGTTTGATCAGTACTTGATGGTGCCCATAAGTGGAAGCAATACTCCAGGGGTGGCTGAATCAGAAATTTCCACAGTGTATTCATTAAATGTTTGTCCCAGGATTTCTATAGATCATACAAACTTTACTGCAAACATGGTTGATGTGGATATTGTATGCCAAGATCACAGACATATTCTTTTTATTTCCTGATCGATTGCTATACTTTGTACTGGCCATATGTTATAAAATGTTACTATGTCTTATTAGTTCAAATTTGTTTCAAGTTCTGATTTAATATGGCAGATTCATTTCTGCTTTGTTCTACATCAAGAACTCAGTCATATCATGACATGACTTAAATTTGTAGTTCACAATGATCTTTGACTGAGGGTACCTTATAACCTCATTAGTATGCATAAATGTACCCGGTATTTCTAAGCTTACTATAAAAGCTAACCTCATAAGTATGCATAAATGTATTTCTAAGCATACTGTCAAAGC